ACTGTACTGTCGTGCGACGCCGACGCCAGCCGTGTTGAGTCGTGAGAGAAGGCCACTGAGCTGACCCCACGGCTATGGCCTTCGAGCGTCTGCAGGCAGGCCCCCCATTCATCCCTTATAGCCGGCTTTATTGTGAGCCAGGGGGGTGCCTCCTCTTTAAAAAGATGCCGTATTAGACTGCGAGTTGGGCTGAACACGAGTGCTGACACATATGCCTGAAGAGGAGCGCTCTCTATTGCACCTTTATGATACATAATAAATCGACGCGCATCTTGAACTAGATCAAGCACAGCAGAGGCGCCTGCTCTTCCCTGGGTAATGTTAGCATGCGTTCTACGTAAACGGCACTGCTTGTTAAGGTATTACATAGATTAAAGCCTCAATTTTTGCCATTAACACTACTCCCTTCGGCATACTCTTGCAAAGACTTAGAGCCTCCAGCCAGTAGAGGTATTTCTGTCTTAGAAACTTGTCCACGCTACCTCCGTCCTGTAGGTCGACCGGATAAACTGCAGAAGAGATGGAATTCCAGTCATAAAGATGGTCAACCCAGTAGATACACGAGTAGCGCAACGCCGCCAATGGATCTGGGTCTGGCTGTTCAACCCGCTCAATAGGATATCCTAGCGCATGCAAGTTATACATGTCTCGTTGAAGTGTGCTGCACATAACCTGGAGCGACCTTGAGAAGAATGCATAGTGGACCTCCTCTCTACCAGACGGAAAGATGTTGTCGGATGCCTTTGTAAGGATAAAGTCTTTTGCCGACTGATGCACAAAATAGACAGTTTCCTCTCGAATAGTGAGAAAAGAGCCGCAAAGGCCAATTATCTCTTGCAACGACTCTGGATCATCAGCCATATCCTTGAGCAGCTCGACAAGAGATGTAAGCTCTTGCACCGTGACGGGTCGGTAAACGATTGCAATAGCGGCTAGTATCCGCTTGCAGAGATCCGCGTCGTCCGAATTGCATATTTGATCTAGCATTCGCCTGTACAGAGAGTTAAGCCCAGGTGGAAACGCATTTAACTTCGCAAGCACCTTCCATCGTGATATTTTCTTGAGATCTTGACAGACCAAAGCTACCCAGAGGAAAGTGCCATCTGCGTTTAATGACAGGTGGTGCTGTACTGCCTCTGTTGTTTTGCCATCGTACTTTTTATCTTGCGCTAGCTGAAGCACTTTATGCTGGATAAACACGCTAACAGCGGCAGAAACAGACTCTGCGTTCAGCTCAAGGCTTAGTCTCACCCTATGTCCCGCCCTCGCTAGCTGTTCCTCAATGTCCGGCCAGTTGCGGCTAGAGACAATCCACTTGACACGAAGGGATGCGGAAGACAGCTCAACAATGAAGTCTAGCAGTTTTGGCAAGTCTGTTACGCACTCGTCGAGCGCATCAACAATTAAGTACGTGCTGGTTAAGCTCAGGTCTTGCAGGATGCTTGTGAAGATCTCGCACAAGGCAACCCATGCATTTGCATCTTCGAATAGTGTTTTGCCTGCGTGATCGTGCTTCTTCCGTATATGTGAGATAAGCGAAGGCTGCTGGTCAACAAGTAAGTACAATAGACCTCGCAGCACGGCTGTGGCATTGTTGATTCGCGCGTCCGTGGCCTGGCAGAAGAAGTAGGACAAAAGATCTTTTTGAGCGATGGACCTCTTCAGCTCATTGATAATGCCGCAGAGTAGCATGGTCTTGCCTTTGCCGGGGTCCCCTTTGATCCATAGCAGTCGGCTCTGCTGGCTGTCATGCCATTGTTGGAAGTCGGGGTTCTCGAGGATCCAGCGGTACGAGTCCTCCAGCAAGCCACCCTTGGTGTCTTGGATGCGCTTCTTGTCATCGCGAGGGTCCGTTAGGCGTAGATGTTGGATGCATTCGTGGTCCTCCTTCTGCAATTGGACGGACGCTGGTCGCTGCACGAGACCCTTTGAACACTTTTCAATCTCTTCTCTGAGTCGTCTGAATGCGTTATCTCTCCCTTCGCCATAAATAAGGGGCATATGAACGCTAAAGATGCCTAGTAACGAGTACGCCTTATCTTCTTCGAGCTTGGTCTGGCGACGTTTTGTCCACGATAGTCGCTCATCGACGGGGAACTGCGATAACTGGCCTCCCTGTAGCGCTGAGACAGCAATACCTGTTATCTCATGAATATGTTGCTGTAGCGATATTTTGTCGCCTAGTCGCGTGCGTTCTCGGGAGAAGAATTCGACCGAACGCGGGGCAAGAAGCTCTTGGAGCGTCCAACCCCGTTTGAACCAACTACTCCCTTGGAAATCCGACTCCCAAGGCTGCGGATCTTTGTCCTCGTGAATGTCAAATGCAGGGCCGGAAACATCAGGCAGATACGCGTAGCATCGAGCCGCGTCGCGATACCAGCGGAACATGGAGTTAATAGCCTCCGAGAGTTCGGTGAAGTTTGCCTTGTCGATGCAGCAGGTATCGATCCAAAAGTATTGCAGGCCATCTTGTCTGGCCTGCTCTCCACAGAAGCGGATCTTCTCATAGCCTGGCTTATCCTTGCCAATGCCATTTCTTAGGTCCTCAAAGGTGACCTCATCGCCGTCTGCTCCCCAAGTATGTGAAAGTATCGCATAGGGAGGGATACTTTCATCGCCAACCCAGGCCTTGGTGAGATTGAACTCGCCGGTATCGTTGCGCAGTAGAAGGCGCATTGCTTCATATGAAGTTTGGGAGCAAGTGGCAGGAAGGGAGTGGCGGCGCCGAGAGTACCGCACGTTGGATGGGACTAGAGCATTATAGCATTATACCTACTTAAGAAAGTTAGCAAGTATACATGTAAAGCGGGGACACTAGGCCATACCAGCACATGGAATGTGAATGCGAGAAGGGTTTAAGAGGAGGTGGTTCGGACAAGGCTCCGCGAGCGAACGGACGAACACCCTAATCACGCTAGCAGGGAGGACGGCCGACCAGCTCTGGCACTGACCTTTGTCAGCTCAAGCAGTGGTAGTTAGTTACAAGAGAAGTACCTTCTTGTACCGTGGCAGATCACGTGCCTAAGCTAATGGTGCCTAACCGGATACATAAGGTGGGGTGCCAAGACTTCCGCTTACGGGTGGGGTAGAATCCGTGGGTGAAGCCGCATTCGCTAGCAAATGTACTGTTCCGGAGTCGGATTTTTATATATTCCGAGCGTCAGCAGGGCTCCGCGCAGCCACAGGCCTGATGGGGCTAGAGTTGCTGGGCTTACTTAATTACTATAAGTAAATTACACCGTAAAATTATTTCGGACGTATAGAACTCTCTCGCACTAACCGCTATTAGTGATCGCGTCGGTTGGAGGTACCGATCGATGTGGCGACTTCGCATGAATTTGCGTGCGACAGCAGCCACAAGCCTGATAACGACTTCCCAGTAGAGTCTTGGATAGGGTATTTGAATTGGATAGGGTATTTGAATTGGATAGGGTATTTGAATTGGCTCGTGCACATATACACGTGATATGACGGAGAATGCCGTGTGTATACAAAAAACGGGTGGGGGGGCATTCTCTTGTATTCTATGCACTTGTGGAACCTCAACACTATAGGGGGACATGATAATATACATTCTCTGTCGATATACAGCCTCACACATGAACTGAGTGTAATATAATGCTGATTCTATGCGATTTTTGTATACACACGGCATTCTCCGTCATATCACGTGTATATGTGCACGAGCCAATTCAAATACCCTATCCAAGACTCTATAGTACCTTTGTAGTGAGGTTCTAAGGCTCGGATGGGGCCCTTTTATAGGTACCACGAGCGATAAGAGCTCGATAGTAGTGCTGTGGCGAAGGAATTATGTTACGCCATAAAAGGAGGCTCTCCGTAAATTAGACGCAATAGCGACGATACAACTATAATTTTTGAATAGGAGCTGTTCTAAGTGTTTAGAAGGGGGAGCGCTACTCGTACACCCCCTAATCGCTACACGTACACCCCCCTCCTCTTGGCGCCTCACCACTTTCTAATTGGCTCGGAGAGCCCGGAGCTTCCTCCGGGCATTCACCTTTACGTCTCTCCGTACGTGATGCTATATACGAGGCCGTACGTGATGCTATACGCGAGGTCGTACGTGATGCTATACGCGAGGCCGTACGTGATGCTATACACGAGGCCGTACGTGATGCTATATAAAATGGAGAGGCTGTACAGCCATGCCCATTTTATATAGCCTCACACATAAGCTTACGTACGAGCTCATATACAAGCTCACGTAGTCTAAGTCTAAGTATAAGTATAGAATAGAATTCTATTCTAGAAGTGCCTACGTGCCTAACAGCATGCTAAACCTGTCAAAACCTCACCTTATTACGGCTCCTTTGCATCGAGCCTGGCCCCCCTGCATCACCACCTGCACCTACTCCATATACTGATCCATATACTCCTCAGCCTCCTCCTCATAGTTATACTCTGTAGGCGCCACAACGTTCCTACGGCTTGGCGGCCGGCTTGATAACTCAGCAGTGCCCCCCTCGACACCTGCTGGACGCTGAGACCCTCCTAGACGTGCTTGTAGAGCTGCAATCTGTCGTAGGATGTCTGCACGGTCATCCTCTTGTTCCACCTGAGGTTGAGGCTGAGCACTGTCTTGCCTCCGAGCTCCTGCCCTTTTCCGTGGTACCTTATCCTTTGCACCAGGCGGCCGGCCGCGCTTCTTAGCTGCAGGTGCAGCCGTAGGTGTAGCTGTATGCGCTGCTGTATGCGCTGCCGTAGGCTCAAGGAGGGCCGGATCAATTTGAGAAATATCAATACCAGTCCTAGCAGGTGTAGCCGTCGACTGAGGGACATTCTGGCGGACAGGGATGGCCGGATTTTGCTGTAAAGAAGCGGGCAGGTGTCGTAGAGCTGTGCCTTGTTGTCCGTTCTGTTCACCTCCACGTCGAGCTGTACCCATAGCAACCTCAAATCGTGATGGCTCTCTCTGTGTATTGTTGTACGTATGGTGACCTCTCTTCTCAATAGCAGGGCGGCCACGTCGACGCTCAATAGGAACAGGATCTTGTACATCATCAAACGGACCAAAAGGAATAGCTGGCTGCTGTATACCCGGCCGAACAAACCACCAATGGTGATCTATCTCATCCGGTTGTATATAGAGCACAGGATCTAGATGATTTGCAAGCGCCCGATGTAGACGATCGTGTAGCTTATAAGCGCATGGCATGCCGTATATACTTGTGAACGTATAAGTACAGTTATTTAGGTTGTATTCATTCGATTTCGCCTTCTTAAGTTGTGTCTTGAGGAGAGAGAGCGCCTGCGGTGTAATTGTTTGATATAGATTACGGAACTCAACTTCTTAAATATTATGCGGAGTCCTAGCATACCACTTTGCTTTATAGTCCTTGTATTTCGATTTGCTATTAAGGATAAGGTTCTAGATGTTGAGGAGCACGTCAAATAGATGGCCAGTTGACACCTGGAGGAAGCCTTTAAGCCGCCCGTGCGCGCCCTTGTTCCGTGATGTAACACTGTAAGAAACTCGGTTAGCATTATACACCTAAATTTGCATCTGCTCAACCCAAATCTCAACACCAAGATATGCGAATTTGAAGCCTAAACTTCACACGGGGCTTGTTAACACGTAGAAAAAGCAGCGCTAAAAAGGGCAAGAAGAGAGCTTAAGGATTAATTAAGAAATAGGACATAAGCAGACACTTACGTGGTTCTAAAATGCCGAGCTGTTTAAGTGTAGCAAGTTGCCTATTTCCACCTACACGGCCACCACTCTTCCTCCATATACTCTATAAGGCTAGGCCTCTCCTTATAGTTGTTAAGCAGCTTATTCCAGGCCTTATTAAATTGATTAAAGAGTTCCAGCTTTATTATAGCAGTCCAACGGATAATAAATTCACTCTTTTTCTCTTCCTACCTCTTTTCCTTAGCCGCCTTCTGCTCTTCCGTATTACTCAGGTTGAAAATTGATGTGAACTCTGTCTTATTTCGGGGGCCCGAAGGCCAAACTATATACTACGTAGGAAGTGACTGTATGCATAGGCAGAAGCACTAATTGGAGGCAGCAGTAGGCAGCATTAGGCAGGGTAGGCCACCGTACCCCAACCCCTCTCTGTAGAAGTTGTAACTGGCTAGGCATGTAGGCAGCTACTATGCCAGCAACTCCAAGTCTGTACGTAGGTGACCGTGAACCGTATGAGTTGTTGATCCTAGGTTGTAGCTGTTACAACCCGAGTGTATTATTCTCTATTAGCGCATCAGCATAGCCTACAGGAAATGTCGGTTTATCCTTATATACCTTAGCTAGCTTAGTGTTAATGTTCTTTTCAATATACTATACACACAGAAGGCGCGGGACATTAGGCTATTGTTAACGTAGCGCGTTTCTTAGAGCTTGTTCCTTATCTATTAGGAAAACGCGTGGCGTAATAGAATAGCGTTGAAAGAGCTCGAAGAGCTGCTGTACTGCCTATTCGTAGTTCGCCTCCTTTTCTCTCGGAATAAAACAATAGGCAATCTTGTAGTTCTTGCCTGTGCATGTAACGCCTGTTATATATAAGAAGGGTATACCAATTTTTTTGGTTTTATACGTGCAGTCCATTAGTATAATATTATAGTTAGACTGTAGGATCTTAATAGAATCCGGGTGTGCAAAGAAGAGGTAATTAACTCGGTTCCTATTGTCCTTTATATAGCTGTATACATACTTCCTCTCTGGGCCGACAGGTGCAGGAAATATAGATGTTTCTAGCGTATAGAGGAGTGCTTGTATAGGCGTGCAGCTAGCAAGAAGCTCTATTCGGTATTGTAGTTGTTTATTTTAAATATTATCAACCGTAATTATTAGGGCGCTGCTAAATGTACACCCTATATTTACTCGGTGTACACCCCTTTTCTACTCCGTATACACCCTTCTTACGTCTGATCTTCTGATTGGTCCGGAGGAGTGCTCCGGGGCCTCCGATTCGCTCGCTTACGTTTCTCACTAATTCCAAATGCTCTCTCCAAGTGCGGCGTGGCCACAAAGCATTACATCCTGATCCTCAACTTCCTCAATACACTCACCATGGCCCTCAAACCACCACCGCCACGGTCCTACTGTACGCTAGATGAAGCCGAGGAAGTGCTTAGAGAGCATGCAAAGGCGCATGGCTACGGGCTCATCAAGTTCCGTTCAAAACCAGACAGAAAGACGAAGGAAACGAGGAAAATATGGTACCGATGCTGCTTTGGAGGCACCAGAGAGTCTCATGCACGCGTGCGCAGTACGTCTACTAACAAAGTAGACTGTAAGATAAGCGGTACGCTCACTCGGCAGCCTCCTAGAGTTAATGGCTCACGTGTTTAGCTATAGGAGACGGTGGAGGAAGCTCACAACAATCACAACGCTATGCTCAAACCTACGGCAGCCGCCTGTAATAGGAAGCGCTCGGCATCCACGAATGCCCTCATTCGAATAGATGCATTAAGCGGAACAAAGCCTAATGAGACGTATACAAAGCTGTTGAAGAAA